AGAGCACAGCAAGGAAGAAGCCCAAACCATGGACGCCACCCAAGATCTGGCCAGCACCCACTGCTGCCCCGTGCACCCAGCAGGTGCAGGGGCAGGAGGAAGTCATCTGTCATCCTACGCGGGTCCTCAGTGGGAGGGAGATGGGGCGTTTCCGGGCTTGCAGGGTGACAGCCAGGACGCATCAGATGCCACCCGGCTGAGAAAAGTGAGCAAGGCTGTGGGACAAGGCGGGACTGATTACAGCCACACACAGGGCTTATGCTGGTTGAAAAGGTAGAACAAAATTTCTAGGCAACAATCCGAAGGTGTTGACAGTGTCGGGGAGCAGCCGTTCCCCACCCGCCCCCCACCTGCCAAGATCCTGGGGCCGTGCTGTCTCAGGCCCCCTCCTGCCCTTGACTGGGGACTCATGTGGACCCCAAGCTTTGACAGTCACGGTCAAGCTCTGCTGTGAGGAATGACCTTGAGCCTCTGACCTTCGTGGACACTGGGGGAAGTCACACATGGGCAGGGTGACTTAGCAGGGTTGGCGGTTGGTGGGGGACACTCGTCGGCCATGGGCAACAGAGGGTCTAGGACAGGACCCCTTGCAAGGCAAAGACTGCCTTGAGGCCTTTCTTGACTTTAAAAGCTCAAGAAGGAGCAGCTTAACCTCTAGTATTGAGGGGTGGACACAGTGGCCCACTGGGGTCAAGCACCTGGGACCCAGAGTGGGCAGACCCTGCCCCAGGGGGCCCCTCATAGTCCCGAGCGACCAGGGCTGCTCTCCTGGACTCCAGCATGCTGACAAACCCAGATGCTCACTTGCACACCTGGGATTAGAGATTCAAGCGCCACCGCCACCCCGAGTCCCTCGTGGTCCTCCAGGGGACACGCACCATCCACCCCCTGGCTTGGGCTGTCTCCCTGGGCCACGCCATCGTCTGCAGGGTGGGTTCCATCACCCACCACTTGCGCGATAAAGATTCACCCCACATGGCAAATCAGCCAAAGGCTGTGCCATCTGTGTCCAGTCTGAGGTTAATGGGGGACATTTCTGCTCGGTTAGGGCGTCCTCTTGTGGACGGTGGTCCCGGGAGGCCCAGCAGAGGGAGGAATCCGCTCCCGGCCCCTTTGCCAGATGTGGAAGCTCCCCTAGCCCAGCACCTGCGACCAGCGCCTGGGCCTAGAGCCCCTGGCGTGGGGATGGGGCTGCACCTGGGGCGGCCGCCCAGGGTGGGGGCTCAGAGTCCAGGGTGCTGCCACAGCCCAGACCTGAGAGCAGGGTGGCGCTCCCTCCCCGGGCATGCAGGGCGGCCAGACGCAGGCCAGGGCTTGTCTGCGGGGAAGACTGGGCCCTGGGTGTGGGCATTTCCGCACGGAGGCTGCGGCTTCTCTCCTTGGAAACTGCGTCACCCTCCTGTGATCCGGGCCTGGCTCTGGAGACAGTGACTCACGGGGTCACACCGGTGACCCGGCACTGTCACACTTGGGCTGTCCAGGATCTGCCTGAGCCTGGAGCTGACCCCCCTTCCTGCGCTCAGGGACTTGGGCCTCACGTGGATGGCCCACGGCCAACCCGGGCCTGGAGCCAGCAGCCCTGCCCTACCTGGTGGCGGAGCTCGGAGGGAGCTGCGGGGCCCGGTGGAGTTTGAGAGTGACTGGCACCCACCCCACCCCTGACGGTCCCGGGGCTTGGCCAGCGCTCTGGCCTGGGGAGCTGTGTGTGACTATGTCCCTGGGGGCCCCCACGGGCTTGTCCCTCTGATGGAAGGGAAAGTCCCTGGTCATGGAACCCCTGGGCCAACAGCTTTCCTCACTTGGGAAATGGGGTGACGACAGAGCCTGTCATGATGGCACGTACCGAGTGTTGGCTCAGTCTGGCATGTGGGGACACTCCCAGCTGTGAGCAGATCCCATGGTGGCCTTGGGCAGCAGGCGTGTGCTACCTCCCCACGTGGGGTCACTCGCCTGCCTGTCCGTGGGACCCTACAGCCCCTGACCTGGGCCAGGAGCCTCTCTGACCCCCACCAGGGTGCCATCGTCACCTCCCCAACCCTCTCTCCTCCCACCTTGTCCCACCGCCCCGCCGTCATGAGCTTGCCTGTGGACTCTCCATCCCAGACCACGGCCCTAGAGCTGGGTCAGCGCCTGCCAGGCCTGCACCCCGACAGCCGCACGCCCTTCCCCACCCTCCCTCTGCCTCCAGGGAGCCGGGGACCCGCGTTTCCTTCCTGGCTCAGCCCCTACCTGCTCCTGGGCCCCCACGATTTTCAGAGTCACGCAGGCTCCTGTTCAGCCTCGTCCCCCGCTGACCAGGTGTGTGGCGCTGGGCAGGCCGTGGTGACACGGGGACGTGGGGAAACTGCAGGCATGGGGCTGCCAGAGGCTGGTGGCACTGGAGCCTCCAGGCAAACAAGGAGCAAGCGCCTGCAGCTCCAGAATCCCACCTCACGGCCTCCTCGCGGGGCTGCTGTGGGCGGTGATGGTCGGGTGTGCGTGAACCCCGCAGCCTGGCGCTGGAGGCCACAGGGGCACCTGTCGGACCTCCGTGTGGCCCGGGCGTCCTCCCGTCCTCTGCCTCCGGGCCCCCCTCCTAGCTGCGCCTCCTCCATGGAGCTCCCGTGTGTGCTCACAGGGCTCCCCACACCCGCGTGTAATGCGCTGTGGCCTCTGCCGCCTCTGGTCTAGGGCTGACACTCCCGTCCCTGCCCTTCGGGAGGGGCACCCCCAGGCCCGGCATCCTCCGCCGGGAACGAGACAGACTCCAGAAGATTCTCTGCACAGTCTACAACCGGGCCTCCAGTGGCTGATCTGAGAGGCACCAGAGCTGCAGGCCGGGCAGGGCCTTGACCTTGTGGCCAGAGGCTTCCGGGGGGCACAGAGAGCGTGCGCTCCATTAGCCCTTCCAGCAATGAGGGGGCTGGCTGGAGGAGAGGACCGGTTCCCGCACTTGGACCACTGCCTGCAGGCCCAGCGGTGCCTCTCGATGCCGAGAGGAGGGGGTGACGAGGCTGTGCCCCCGGACCCCACAGTGTCTCCAGGTCAGGCAGCGGGACCGAGGAGGTGGGGGGCCCGGGAATCATCGGGTCAGGCAGCAGGACCGGGGAGGTGGGGGCTGCGGGAATCATCGGGTCAGGCAGTGGGACCGGGGAGGTGGGGGCCACGGGAATCATCAGGTCAGGCAGCCGGGACTGTTCTGGTGGACCAGCCAGCCTGGTCTCTCTGAGGGTGGGGCCTGGTCCCCCACCCCCCCAGCGCCCGGTGTGGACATGCGGGGCCATTGCTGCGTCGGGACCTCAGCTCCTGACAGCTACTGGGTCTGACATTCCCGGGCAGGGGGAGGGATCCCACGGAGGAGGCTTGGACGGATGAGGATGACGCAACTGTGCATATGCCCTCATGCCTTTTCTTCTTAGAACAATCTCCCCATCGTGGGAGTATGAGGTTGAATCATAATGTTTTTAAGTGTGAACATGTTAGGGAGGGGCCCTTGTTCTGAGGTTCAGGGACTTTTCTGCCCTTGTAGATCAGCCAGCGTGTTCAGGAGCCAAACACGGAGGCCCACAGGGGACGCGGGAGGTGCAATCCCAGAGGCCGGGCGGAGTGGAGGGCCTGAGCTCTGGGGTCCGTCCTCCCTGCCCGCGGCCCTTTCCCGCGGGTTCTCTGGGCCAAGGCCTGTGGAGGGCTTTCTCCTTGGGCTTATCGGTCCATCGGCCCATTTAGGTAATGACACTTCCTGCCCGTTAATCTTGGCCGAAATGAAGTCAGCTCCACACCGATCTGGCCAGAAGCTTGCAGAAGACTTCCTATTTGGGGAATAGAATGGAGCTGGGCCTCTGGCGCGTCGAGGAAGTGGAGAGCCCAGCTTCCCGAGCAGCAGGCAGGAGAACAAACAGGGACAGGGCGCCTGAGCGCCGCCGAGGGCCCACGTCAGAGAACGGCCTTCCTGGGCTGGAAGCGGCCGGCCAGCCCTAGTGTTGACATCCTGGCCCCGCAGACCCTGCCAGTAGGAAACGGGGGGGAGGGTGTTGGACTGGTGCTTTTCTGGGGGACTAGTTGGGAGGCCTGGCCCCGGCTAAGGCTCCCCTGACCACCCCAGGCGCGTCCCAGTGCTCTCGGCTCTGCAAGTCTGCTGGACGCTCCCCTGTGGCGGGCCTAGGCCACGGCCTCCCATCTGACACCTTGCTTCTCAGCCTCTGGGAGGCACGTGGGGTGCTGGGCCCGTGAGCTCCTGGAACCCCTTTGCTGAGCTCGGCTCACGGGCTCCCGTCCCAGGCTCTACAGCGTTCTCCCCCCCGGGCCTGGGCGATCTGACACTCTGGTGGGCGCCGAGCGGCAGAACCGGGGAGAAGCCAAGTAGCTCTCCCTCCCTCCGTCTCCAGCTGCATCTCTACGCTCCGAGCTTTGGCAGCAGGGCCCTAGGCCTTGGGCACTGGAGCACCCCCTCCTTCTCCTGTCCCTCCAGCCTGGGGCATGGTGGGTCCCCGAGCACTTGGCATCCTGTGCTCACTGAGGGCTGCCTGAAGCCCCTCTCGTTAATGCCCCAGGAGCCCTTCACGATGACGGAGACAACTCGAGGCCAGCCAGCTTCCCCCTCTCCAGGCAGGGCAGTCCTTGAATGTGTCTGTAGTGTCCCCAAGGCCCCCACGGGTGAACCCCACCTCCTGCCCTCCCCCACTCACCTCCCACAGAAACTGTCCTAGAATCCTGCCTCAGCATCTGCTTCTGGGGGACCCACCCCAGCCAGCCTCCCACTCGTGCCTCGCCATCCCCTGCTGGGCCTCTCAGGGGTCCCTCACTAGACCCCTCAAGCATCACGGTCCAGGGCAGAGGGTGGGCCTGCCTCTTGGCCAAGCCACCGCTTGCTCTCTGATCCTGAGACTGGGGGCAGGGAAGGAAGGGGGAGCTGGAAAGGGGGGTGCATCGGGAGGTGGGGGCAGGCTGGGTGCTTTGGCCAGCGCTGCAGGGAGCTGGTGCAGACTTTCCCTTTGCCGGCTTCCCTGGGACGATGGGGCCTGCCGGTTGCACAAAGCACTCCTTACGTAAGTGGCGTGAAGATACATGAAAAGCCCCGGGCAAGTCAAAACAACCCTAAATGGGCAGGGATCCCAGATGGACAAACACCGGGAACGTGGTAAGTAACTGGTCGGAAAGCCCCGGCTGGCAGGAAGGGGACTCTGGGTGGGGTGGCCCTGGAGGAGAAAGTGGTTGGGCAGAGGGACAGACGCAGAGGCCTCGGCTCTGAGCCTCCAGGTGGCCGCCCCAGCCCTGCTCCAGCCGCCGGCCTCAGCCTCCTACTGTGGGCCTGGCGCACGCACGTGGCGGACTGGCCGTCATAACCGGGTTGGGGAGGTCAGCGCAGGCCCCTCTCTTCACCCCTGGAGTTGGGGCCCACAGGGATCCTTGGACATCCCATCCTGAGGTCCTTGACTTGGTGACATCTGCAAAGACCCCTTTTCCAAATAAGGCCTCATTCACAGGTTCCAGTGGTCAGGACCTGAGCAGAGTTTGGGGGACCACCGTTCACCCCACTCCAGTTGGCAGGGGAAGGCGCCCCTTGAATCTCCTGGCTCTACTGTGAGCTGGGGAGGCTCCTGGAGGCGTCCAGACGTGGTGAAACCAGCCGGGGTCAAGACAGCCTCTCTGAGCCGAGCTCCTGCCCTAGGAGCCCCATCCCAAACAGACCCCCACCACCCCGCCTTGAGCTCCTTCCCTGTCCCATCCCCTGCCTCGCTGGGGCATCTCCCAACGCCACCAGAACACCTCCATCGAGGCTCTCCTTGTCCCCCCAGCTTCTCTGGATGGGGGCTGAGCCCGCTGGCCCTGGCCCCAGTGCCTGGGTGGGAACTCAGGGGTATCCAGGCCTCTTCTGAGTCTCAGAGGCAGTGAGGACGGGGCAGCGCGGGGTGGGGAAACAGAAAGGTGGGAGGGGCTGGACTCCCCCAAACCCTAGGGGCTTAACACAGGCTGTAGCTGCCCCGCCCCCAGCTCTGGTCCCCAGCACCCCCCGGCCTCCTGCAGGCAGCCCACCTCCAGTTCCTCCAGCCCATCTGATGCCCTGGTGCTTACAAGGACCCCGGGGAGCACAGACCCTGGGAACCCAACGAAGAGGGTGCTGTTTGTTTTACGCTGAGTTCCTCTGAGGGGGCCGCCTTCACCTGCGCTGTGCTCCCTGGGGTCAAGCTGGGTGCCCCGAAGCCCCCGGGGCCCCCACTCTGGGGCTGTCCCAGATGGCAGAAGCAGAAAAATAGCTCCATCTTTCTAAGCCACAGGCCTCTTTTTTGGGAAGCCGAGTCCCATCTTCCGGCTTCCTGGGACCCAGCCCCCAGACAGGCGGAGGTTTGCAGCTTGTGCACGCTGGCCGTGCCCCGCTTCCCACTGCTGTGTGGCCCTCACAGCTCCTGTCCCCTCTGGGGACCCAGTGGGGTGCGGAGCTCATGCCCCCCTCCGGCCTCACACTGTCCCTTTTCAGGACAGTATCTTTACCCAGGGTGGTGTCCACGGGTCAGCCAAGCCCTGCTTACCAAGAGGCCCTGGGGTAGCTGCCTGCGGGTGGGAGAGCCCAGGCCTGGCCTCGGGCGTGCTGGACCCCTTCCCAGCCCCCCAGCCCCCCACCCGGTCCCAACTTCCTTCTCCAGCTGGAAGGGAGTCTGGACGTTTCACCCCCAGCAAATGGCCAGGCAGGGAACGTTCTCACGCAGCCAAAAGTGACTCAGGATGGAAAGTGGGGGTGCTCACAGGGGCCGCCTGTGCTTTCCAGCTCTGCAGTGGGAACCCACTCTTGTCCCCACCACAGTGGAGGGGCACGGGGCCCCAGGATGCTGCTCCCCCAACGGGGGAATGAGAGAGCACCCACCTGGGGGTGATAGGGCACCCCCAGGGCAGTGGCCAGAGACCCATGGGCCCCTAAACAGCCCACTGCCAGTTTCCCAGGGTCCTGAGAGCCCACTGTGATTCTAGTCTGGATTAAAGCTGGCTCACTGTCCATCTCCTGCTGCTCTGGATCCTCTTCTAGAACGTACGTGCCGTAGAGCTGACCCCCTCGTTCCCCACATCGTGTTCCTCTGGATAATGTGATCGCTGATTCGCTGTGGAATGGTTTTCCAAAAACACATGCTGGTTGTCATTTTGTACTCTGATGTGTTTAACCATTGACACCGATGTGCTCGTGGAAGCAATTGGGCTTCATCTGACGTTTTCCTCATTTTGTTCATCCCCTCTGGCTCCGTCCCTCCGTTCCCTTTTCCTGCTTCTTCAACATTTTGTCATATTCCATTTTAGCTTAGCTATCGGCTCTTTGGCTTTGCCTCCGTGTGTCTTTTGTGGTGGTGGCTTCGAGCCTGTGAAATTCTGCCCTCCCCTCCCACGCTCTGCTCAGCTTCTGTGTTGCCATGTCCCATAACACGTAGGAGCCCCCGGCCACCTCCCCCTTCCTCTTTAGAGACATTGTCCCACTGACTTCTGCTTCCGTGTTGTTTGAAAGGATGTTTGCACTTGTTTGTTTTGTGCCTGATTTCTTTTTCATTAATAGTCTTCTTTAGAGAGTAGATTTAGGTTTGCAGAGAAATTGAGCAGGAAGTCCAGGGAGGTGCCTCCGCTCCCCCCTCCCCTGCTCAGAGCGCCCCCCCCACCTGCATTCAGAGGCACACTTGTCACAGTTGCTACATTATGATTATTAACGAAAACCACAGCTTACAGTAGGGTTCACTCTTGGTATTGTATGTTCTGTGGTTTGGACTCATGTATAATGACACAGAGTAGCTTCGCTGCCGGAAACTCTGCCCACCCCCCACCCCCACCCCCAGCCATCTTTTTTCTGTCTGTCGTTCTGCCTTTTCCAGAATATCTGTGTTGGAAGCACACAGTATGCAGCCTTTACGGACTGACTTCTTTTACTTAGCGATGTGCCTTTCAGGTTGTTCCGTATCTTCCTGTAGCCTCTGTGGTTTGGAGGAGAAAGCGATGGTCATTTGAATTGGTCTTCCCAATAGGTAATGCATCCCTTTTCTCTCGGGTTCAAGAGATCATGGAGGGGGGTCTGCTGGGCAGATTGTTTGCGATGTGGCTGGGCATCATTTTTTTTGAGTTTAGCCTGTTTGGGATTTGCTGAGTTTGTTAAAACTCTGCATTTGTCTTTCCCCCAGTTTGGGACATTTTCTGCTATTATCACTTCAACTATTTTCCTGCACCATTGTTTTCCCTCCTCTACCCTGTGACTCCTGTGGCATGAACGGTGGACCTCTTGCTACCGTGCCACGAGTCCCTAAGCTTCTGTTCATTTTCTTTTTCAGGCTGAGTTTTCCTCTGTTGCATAGGTTGGAAATTTTCTATGGATCTCTCTGTAAGCTCAGTCCCCTTTCCTGCCACTGTTGTCCTGCTACTAAGCCCACCTAATGATTTTTTTTTTTAAATTTCAGATATTTTATCTTTCAGTTCTAAAGTTTCTATTAAGTTGTTTTTTGTAGTTTCTATTTCTCTACAGAGAATTTCTATCTTTCCATTCACTTCAAGTGTATTTCCCTTTACCATGTGGAGCAGAGTTATAACAGGTGTGTCAGAATCTTTATCAGATGATTCCAGCATTGGGGTCATTTTGGGGGACAGGAGGGCTGTGGATTGTCATTCTCTTGAGCATTTTTGTGGCTCCTTGTACGTCAAGTAATTTTGGATTCCTTGGATTGCCCTGAATATTTTCAATATTATGTTGTGTAGGCTCTGGGTCTTGTTAAAAATCCCCTGGAAAATGTTGACTTTCTTTTTTATTTTACAGCTGCAAGCAATGGGTCCAGCTGGGTCCAGACCACAGTTCTGTGTCACCCACTGTGGGCTGCGTTTTCCGCCTCAGTTCAGCTCTCGGGGCCTTTGCTGGGCTGTGCTGGGTTGTCTTCTCCAGCTCTTCTCTGTCCTGGATTTCTCCCAACAGGACCCCTTTCCTGCTTCTTCTGTTCAGAAGGGCGGAGCCCCCTCAGAGTTGTAGCTGCTTGTACCCCCACTGCCGTGACGCCTGGATGTGCAGTGGGCTCCCCACTCCTTCACCAAGACCAGAAGTCCACACTTGAATGTCATTGTCGCTGGTGTGGCTGGTACGAGATTTTCAGGCTGTTATTCCTCCATTCCTACTGATAGCAAGAAATGTAATCTTAATCAAACCTGGGAAAATTATATCATTCATATCTTAAAGCACTCCATTTGGGATTATCTTCTCCCCTGACTCGCTGGTGAAGAGGGATAGGATGGTCAGTGGGCGACCCTGGCGGGTTTCTGGGCTGCCCGGACATAGCTGTGGGTGAGGGGCTGCCAAGATTCAGCCTCCCAAACACCAGATCTAGAGGCAACTCCTTGGGCAGGGCTGCAGCTGGGAGGCGTTGGAGTCCAATCACAGAGTTGCCCCCAGACCACAAACGCCCTCGTCACGCTCTCCGTGGCTCTCTGCCCCTCCCAAAGTCCCGCAGAGTCCGGAGGGCAGCGGGTGGCCAGGAGACAAGCTCGTGTGTCCGGCTGAGCTTCGGCCCTGCTCACCTGTCGGGCCGGGTGCACGGGACCTGCAGGCATCCCGCTGCCCTCCTCTCCCCGTGGGTTCCGTCCCACACTCTGGGACAATTGTGGGGTTTGGCCCAGCCCATCATTTGCCCTGAATCTGGGGGGTTAGTGCCGTGACAGGGACAGGTGCTCTGCCCGTCCTGCGGCCCAAGATTTGTGTATGTTTTCATATAAATCCTATCAGTAGTGGTTAAATCACTACATAACCACCCTCCCTCCCTGCCCAAGTCCTCCCACACAATGGGAGCTCCCGACAGATGGATCATGTCTGCATGGCTTCGTGTCCTACCGGGCATGTTGGGGTTCACATGGGGCGGGCTCCCGCCAGCTGGTCTCTTGGGAGCGTCAAGGATGTCCTTGTCATTTTGGACATTAAACACATGTTGGGGTGGTGATGGGGATTCAGAAGCTGAGCTCCAGACGGCGGTAGGAAGTGGACCCTGCGTTTGACCTTGGAAACACGTCAACCCGCAGAGCTGCGTCCATCTCCTGCCTCCGTGGGAGGGGATATGGGCGGCGCCGTGCTGAAGGAGCTGCAGACCGAATCCAGCTGGCTGATCTGCCCACGCAGGAGGGTGGGCAAGGGCAGGTGTGGCCGGTGCCCGCGGAAGAGTGTCTTCGAGCTGGGTCAGGGGAGGGCAGCTCGGCGGCTGCAGCAGAGGGAGGTCGAGGTGTGGTGCGGCCCGGGATGTCACCCGAGGACGGTGCTGCCACTCGAGAAGGGGGGTGCAGGTCCAGCTGCACCATCCGGGTCATTCCCTGGCCTGCAGGCACGTTCTTCAGCAGGGTGATGAGGAAGTGGCATCTGTGGGAGGCCTCCGAGGCCACGGGGCCTTGATCCAGGGCTGAAGCCTCAAGCTTTCCTCTTGGCAGAGCAAAACTTGGAGGAACACCAGCCGTCAGCACAATGGGAAGAAAACTGTTTCCTTTTACTTTCTTAGGGGGAAAACGTACAGTTGCGAACAAATGCATGGAAGAGACCTTTCCACTTTGAACCTGGAGCCCATGGGGGCCTGGGGTCCTTGGGAGGACACAGAGCTGGCCCCGCTGTGCCAGGAAGCACCGTGCCTCCCGGAGGGCACTGCCTGAGCCGGCGAACCACAGAGCACTCTGGGACCCCTCTTTGCTTGGGGCTTGGGGGTTCTGGCCTCCCACATCCAGGGCAGCAAGGGGCCTGGTCCTTCTGACTCCATGGCCTGCCTGGGCCCCAGGCCTGCCTGGCCCGGACAGCTGGTGGGCTGCCCGTCACGGAGAGCTGAGAAGTTACCTGTGCCCCCTGGCTCGGGCGGGTCTGTGCCCACGGGAGCCCCTGGAGGGACGGGGACTCTGTGCTTCTGTGCCCTGTTCGCATGGGTCACACCCACCGAAGTTTGCTTTGCCCGGGGCCCCGAGAAGGCTGAGCGTGTGACGGCTCACATGCTGTTGAGTGGAAATGCTCCAGACACACGCAGTAGCCTGTGAGCGAGCCTGGGTGTGGTTGACACACTCACAAACACACCTACACCGTCACATGCGCACACATGCTCACACATGAGTACACACATACCACAGTGTGCATACACGTGTGCTCACACAGAATCCACAAAGTCACACAGGTGTGAACTCACACACGTAGTTGTGCATTTTGCATACATGAGCACATGTCACACATGCACACACCGTCACACCTACACACATGCTCGTGCATGAACACACACACCACAGTGTGCACACACACACGCTCACACATGTACCCATGGTCACACACAAACTTACACACATGGTAGCATGTGTAACACACACTCACACATGAACTCACACATGGTCACACGTATGCACATACTCCTGCATGAATAACACACCACACACGGGTACGCACGTCAGTTCTCACACACACACCCCCTCCACTCGGCACGGAGAGCAGTGAACAAGGTAGACCCCATCCCAGCTAGCGTTCAAGTGCAGGTCTGAAGCTGCTTCTGAGGGTCTCGGCGGCAGACACAGCGGCCTCGCTACGTCGGGAACAAGCAAAGATCATAAATAAGTCCGTGCTTCCGTAAAGTGAGGTTTGCTGGGATGAGGTCCTCAGGAAGGCGTTTCTGTGAAGACTAACACCAGTCATCACTCCGGGAGCGAGAGGACTCGGAGACGTGTGGATGCAAGTCTGGTGTCTCAGAGGATGTGCAGTCCACGTGTTCGCCGCTCGGAACGGGAACTCCGGCAATGCAGACCGCTGGGGAACGGCGCCGGGCCTGGTCGGGGTTTGGGTGCAGTGTCAGGAGAGCCCGCCCGGGAGCGTCTCCCCAGCCCTGGGGGCACGGGCCGCCCGCCGCCGCGCAGCTCAGGGGCAGGTGGAGTTCAGGCGAGGGCTCCCGTGTCCCGGCTTCGAGGTTGGCAGGAGGCCCCAGGGCGCCCAAGCAGGTGGGGACGGCTGGGACGGAGGCAGGCACCGCGACAGAAGTCTGTCTGACAGAAGTCTGTCCGGGCTTGTCTGTCGTTGACCGCAGGACCCCACCACTGTCCCAGCCCGGGCCCTTCTCCACTTTCCATCTCTCTGCAGGCCTGGACCCCGAGCGGGCGCATGCGCCCCCCGGGCCGCTGAGCCAGGCCACCTGTGTGGGGGACTCACAGGTTCCGTGCCCTGCCGGGGGGCAGCGACCTCATTTTGGAACAAGTCCTCCCCTGCCCACATCGCTGGTGCTCCTGCCATTTCCGATTGCTTAACCAAGCAGACCCCAGGGGCTCAGTGTCCCGGAGCCTGCTCTCTGCGGTGGCTCTTGTCCAGCAGGGCCCGTCGGCCAGCCTGCGTCGGTTAGAGGAGAGACTGGTAGCCAGCACCCAGGAGCGCTCAGGCCTCTCTCGAGTCCCCCATAGGCTGGGTCCCACAGAGCACGTGTGCACACGCACACCACACGTACACATGGGCATACTCATGCGCACATTACACATACACGTGGGCACACACATACACATGCACATACTTGTGCACACACCACACATACACGTGTGCATGCACATGCACACACCACATGTACACGTGCACACACAGCACACACACTTGTGCACACACCACACGTACACATGTGCATGCTCATGTGCACATTACACATACATGTGGGCACACACATACATATGCACACACTTGTGCACACACCACACATACTCTTGTGCCTACTTAT